TGCCGGTCGTGGGTTTACTCTCCACCAAGCACGCCGGTGTGCTAGTAACGAATTGACCACGTGTTGTTTACGTGACAAACCTTACTAATTGTCTGCGTCGGGTGGTGGCGGGTTTCACGGCACACGTTTACATTTACGCGATCTAACCCCCCCCCCCAAGCCCCTCCCCCCCTAAATTTTGGATTAAATTGGTCGTGAAAGCCTCCTACGTGTTAAACGTTGCCACTGGGCAGGACTTTTTACTTTTATTTTTTAGTCTCTTGGGCACTCACCCTTGTGGCCCACGAATGTTTTCCGTGGCCAGCCGGCAGGCCATCCCGACCGCCCAACCGCTACAGCTGGGCCTGCCTGGCTCGCCGTGATCGGTCGTTTCAGTTTATTGTGAAGTACCCTGGGAGCTAAAAGAGCCCCCCTTTAAGTCGGGTTTCATAAATTAGAAAAAACACACACACACACGCACACGTGACGGACGTAACAGAAAAAAAGGGTTAATGATGAATACAAATGAATTAATTTGAAAAAAAAGTTAAGAAATTATATAATTTAAAATATAAAATGTATCTTTTAAAAGTTCTTAGCTAAGGAATTAAAAAAGAGCAACATTAGTCGTAAAAAGTGCCGGTGGTAAAGCACACCGTTTAACCAAGAAACACTACATTTAAATCTGTAAGAAAAAAAGATGATCATGATGATTAACAATTCGCATGTCAATGCTCTTGATGTTAGTGCTAACGATGCACACGTGCATTCCTGCTCTTTGTCACCTGTGCGAATGGGGGCTTTGGTCCTTCTTGAAAAAAAAACTACACTGCTGCTGAGCAGGAGTTTGGCTCGCGAATATAAAGAGAACCGACTATTGCTTTTGTTGTTATGCTGTTGGAAAAAAAAAAGTTTCAGATTACTTTTTGGGGTTTTGTTTTTTGTTGAAAATGTGTAGCACTTTAATTTAAATTATTGCTTGAAAGAGATAAAATAAAATACGTAGATACAGTAATCGCTTTCGATCTTAAGTACCGCATTGTGCGTTTCTAAATCGCGCTGGCGTCACTCAATGATGTTTGAACGGCGTCTGCGGAAAAAGAGCTTCACAGCTCATCGGGTTTTCTCCACGAAAAATAAATATTCCGATTCTGTATTGTGAATGTCATTTGACTTTGCGCGTTCTCCAGATTGTAAGACACACTACCCCCCACCCCCCTCCCACCTCAATGGGTACCTGGTGCGGTGTGTAAAAATCGCCACTGTGGGAGACAAAGACGACCGCCGGCGGCGGCGGTGGTGTTGGTGATCCATACCACACACTCGTGTGCCGTGCCGGCCTTCACAAAAGTGCTACTCGCGAACGGCACTCGCCCCAACAGTCGGTTGAGGCTATGCGGTGTTGGGCACTTGGGGGGGGCGGGCGGGATATTTGTCTTTGTGAGACCAGATTTTTGGTTGACCACATTGACACCGGGGCACGCGAGTTTTGTGGACTCGTCTTACTTTCCGGGGGCACGCTGAAGAGTCCGGAGAACACGGTAAACTCCAAATGCACCGAAAGCCGATCGATTTTTTGTTGTTGTTGCTGTTGTTGTTGTTGCCACAGTTCTAAAGTGCCCGGCTAAGCGATAAAAAACTTGCAGCTCTACCCGTCAATGATGTGTTCCCTGGAATTATAAATGCCGCGTGGCTTTGCGAGCGTTCCCGCGGTGAGTGGGATACATGTCCCGCTCATCCTAACCGGATGAGAAGCGGGCAGCAGTGTCCTCGCAAACTGAGCGTGATCTCCCCCCCTCCCCCCCTGGTCACGGGGTCACCGTCACATTCAGTTTGAGCAGCAACAGTGACCGAACGACCGACAGCAGAGCGATGGCGAGCGAGACAACTGCGGACTGGTTTCGTCGCGCTTAGGACTCATCGGCGCGGCGTAGCTACCGAGGCTCACAGTACGCGTTTTCTTCGTAAAACCGCCGGTGGGGTATTTTTTTCCCTCCCCAAAAGTATTCTGTTATTATTATTGAGCGAGACGATTCAGCTCCCACAGCACCGCAGGGGATATTAATTGGGGGGGGGGGGGGGGGGGTGAGACACCGGTACAAAGCACACGTGACGGATTTCAGCGCAGTGGAAAACCTGTCTTAATCCGCACGTTTCACTAAATCGTGTCAAGAAATCGTTTCAACGAACTTTCAATAAACTGTAACAAACCGTACTCTTTGGTTCTTTCGGTAAAGTCACGTAGGTAGAACAATTAATAGATCACGCAACACAACACAAGCGACCGTGATCTATTTATTTTCTACCTACGTGGACTTTACCGAAAGAGCCAAAGAGTACGGATTCCTGCAGTCACGAAAGCTTCAAATCAAGATCGTAACATACCCCACTCGCTTGGCGGTGTCTTCCTCAGCTCTGACGCCTCCGCAGGAGAAGGCAAAGCAAGGGAGGGGGAGTGCCTGGAGGAGCGGTACTGAAGGGGCTCCATGTTTGGTGGGGAGCTCCCTCCCTGCCGTTGAGTTTGTGCTCTTAAGATGCTCTGAAACGGGGTTTGTTTTGTTGTTCTTGCATCATGCATGCGCTATGAAGAATGCCCCAAACATCACCTACTACATCACCTGCTACATCACCTACTACATCACCTACTACATCACCTACTACATGATTTATTTTAAGGCCGCAGTGTTACTGACGAAGGTGTTAATTGGTTGTTGTTGTTTTGTTTAATGTGCACCAATACCAATGCATCATGACACTGTGTAACACATCAATTAATTCCTAATTGCTTATGCCTCAAAAGTACAGAAAATGGCTTAATCCCCACAAACTTTACTTTCGTGGCCAGGACAGTGATATTTTTAAATGTACCTATTTTCAATGAGAAAACGGGGCGAATTTGTGTATTTTCGTTCACGTAAAGTCGGAAAAACAACATGTGAATCAAAACTAGCAAAGCGCCCTGTAAAGATCGTTAGACGAATCCGAAATATATCAGAATCATCATCATCATCAAATAATCCATCTGCTTGAATACATTATTTGTTGATGCTGCAGCATTGGCAGGAAATACACAAGCACACTAATCAACAACACGTGGTTATTGAACACAGTTGGCGAGGACTATTCTGCCTGCTTCTCATCCAGTGAGGATGAGCGGGATATGTATCCCATCGAGAAGTGTATCCCACTCATCCGGTTAGGGTGAGCGGTTGCGGTGAGCGGGATATGTACCCCCCGCTCCCCCTCCTCCCTTGGGCATCACGGTGGCTAGGAGATGTTAACAACCTCGCCTGGTGAACAGGAGGTCGTGGGTTCGATCTCGACCCTGACACCCGTTGCTGTATATTTGGAATTTGCGGTGTCTCTCTCTCTCTCATCATCATCACGGTGGCTATGAGATGTTAACAACCTCGCCTGGTATACAGGAGGTCGTGGGTTCGATCCCGACCCTGACGCCCGCTGCTGTATATTTGGAATTTGCGGTGTCTCTCGCTCTCACCGTGGTCACGTGGATTTTCTCCGGGTCCTCCGGTTTTCACCCTTCCACATTGAGAATCGGCGTCACCACGCGTTTAAGAGGATTTATCCGCTGCCTTCTATTGCCACGCGATTTGCCACTTCATTCGGCTATCATTCTTGGCCGGATCGCTTCTCTGAAAGAGAGCGGCATAACTCGGTGGTGGCTTACCTGGCAACATGAATATATATTCTTGGTTCTTTCGGTAAAGTCACGTTGAAGGGAAACAATAAAATAATAAAATATATATAAAACAATAAAATTCTCACGACACAAGCAGTCATCATCAGGTGTCGTGAGAATTTCATTGTTTTATATATATTTTCATTATTTTATTGTTTCCCTTCTACGTGACTTCACCGAAAGAACCAAGAACATGAATCACTGCAGTCACGAAAGCTTTAAATGAAAACACGAATATAGTTTTAGTTTTTAGCTGAGTAACACTCTCGCGTTCACACGGATGGAACGATTTGCACAGTGTCCAAGGCACTGACCCGACTGTGACCGACAGAGCTGCGGCTCCTCTGCGCGGTGGCCTTCGAGACGTCACCGTCCAAAACCCGTGCCGACGTTTCGCTTGCAGTGCTTTGAGCTTCGTCAGGGAGAGCTACACAGATTCCACTGCCCCCCACCTCCCCCCCCCCCCCCCAGCCACCCCCTCCCCTGACCCCCCCTGGATGTGGAAACCCTGATACATTCCACGCTATATTTTGGTAAGCAGGAGGCTCAGGGTTGCAAGAACACCCCTCTGGCTTCTGGTTCATGCCCGTCGTCTTACTTTTCCTTGTGGCACTGGATGAACACGGTCATTGATGCCAGGGTTATTTTTAATGAACGCATGCCTGCCTACCTTCTCCGTCCCCCCCCCCCTCCTCCTCTCTCCCTCCCTCTCCCCTCTCTCTGTATCATGTTCGTTTCTGCCTACGATGAGATCGGTGGTTGCGGGGACACACACACACACACGAAGACACGGCTTGTAGACGACAGGGCAGCTTGCGTGCGAAGGGGCCACACGGCCTTGTTTGTGAGAGAAGCTGAGAAGCGGCGTGTTGCCGTCTTTTTCGCGGATTTTTGTTTTCACAAGTGGAAGTGGCGGGGGGGGAGGGGGGGGCGAGGAATATATAAGTGAACCCCCACGGAGCCTTTTTGAGAAACCCGAATGGATGTAAATGAGACGACGGGACACGTGTGTGCCGTTGGACCAAACTCGGGGGTGTTAAGTCAGCCGCTACCGTGTGCGTCTCAGTGTGCCCAGCGTGCTCAGGCGGTGAAGCTTGCGGTTAACGCCTTCGGCGATTCCCCCGTGCCTCGTTCATCATCGCAACGTCTTACAATTTAAATTTCGCGTGAGCGTCCGAAGATTGACTTGCGCGAGTAGGACCGTTCGCCGTCGCCATGGAATCGGCCGTCTCTGGATCCCACGGACACCGCCACCACCACCATCACCACCTCCCGCGCACCGCGCAGGCGCTGTTTGTTGGCACGGCCCGCATGACCGGCCTCAAGGACCAGCGCGTCGCCGCCGCGTCCGCCCTCGCCGCGCCGTCGCCCGCGTCCAGCAGCAGCCACAGCAGCGGCAGCGGCAGCGGGTAGCGGCGGCGACGACGACGACGAAGGCAAGAGGGACGACGGCAACGGGAGACGGAAGAGGCGGGCGGGCGCCAGGAGAAGGCAGAGGAAGGAAAGCCTGGAATCGACCGAGTCCACGGGCGTTCGGGTGGAGGAGTCCGGATCTCTGCCGCCCACGGGCACGGAGGCGCGACTCGGCGACGCGGAGGCGTGCGGACGGGGGGCGGGAGACGGACCGGGCGAGCAGCACGACGACCTCGAGCGCGTGGTGTTCAACGTGTCGGGGCTGCGCTTCGAGACGCAGCTGGGCACGCTCGCCAAGTTCCCCGACACGCTGCTGGGCGACGCGGAGAGGCGGTCGTGCTACTTCGACCCCCTGCGCAACGAGTACTTCTTCGACCGCAACCGACCCAGCTTCGACGCCATCCTCTACTACTACCAGTCGGGCGGCAGGCTGCGCAGGCCGGCGAGCGTCCCCTTCGACATCTTCGCGGAGGAGATCAAGTTCTACGAGCTGGGCGACGAGGCGATGGTGCGCTTCCGCGAGGACGAGGGCTACGCCAGGGAGGAGGAGAGGCCCATGCCGGCGAGCGAGTTCCAGCGCCGCGTGTGGCTGCTCTTCGAGTACCCCGAGAGCTCGGGGGCGGCGCGCGGCATCGCCATCGTGTCGGTGCTCATCATCGTCGTCTCCATCATCATCTTCTGCGTCGAGACGCTGCCCATGTTCCGGGAGGAGAGGGAGAACACCTCGCTCGCCGTGCCATTCGTCAACGGCACTGAGGCGGAGGGCGCGGCCTCCGGCAGCTCGTTCATGGACCCGTTCTTCATCATCGAGACCATCTGCATCGTGTGGTTCAGTTTCGAGTTCACGGTGCGCTTTCTCGCAAGTCCCAGCAAGCCGGCCTTCTTCAAGGACATCATGAACATCATCGACATCGTGGCCATCGTGCCTTACTTCATCACCCTGGGCACTGAGCTGGCGGAGCAGCAGGGCAACGGGCAGCAGACGATGTCGCTCGCGATCTTCAGGGTCGTCCGCCTCGTGCGCGTCTTCAGGATCTTCAAGCTGTCGCGACACTCCAAGGGGCTGCAGATCCTGGGCCAGACCCTGAGCGCCTCCATGCGCGAGCTGGGCCTCCTCATCTTCTTCCTCTTCATCGGCGTCATCCTCTTCTCGAGCGCCGTCTACTTCACCGAGTCCGACGATTCCGACACGGACTTCACGAGCATCCCGCACGCCTTCTGGTGGGCCGTCGTCACGATGACCACGGTGGGCTACGGCGACATGTGGCCCAAGACCGTGGGCGGGAAGATCGTGGGCTCGCTGTGCGCCATCGCGGGCGTGCTCACGATCGCGCTGCCCGTGCCCGTGATCGTCTCCAACTTCAACTACTTCTACCACCGCGAGATGGACAGCGAGGACCAGGGTGAGTACTCGCACGTGTCCAGCCTCAACACCAGTGACGACGGAGGAGGTGGAGGAGGGGGAGGAGGTGGAGGCGATGAAGAAGTCTTCAAGCAAATGTCCATGGAGGTCAACCCGCAGAGCGGCAGGGGCGATGGGGCTGACGTGGTGTCCATCCTCAAGGAGGTGGACTCCGGACAAGTGCCCAATAGCCTGAGTGAGCAGACGGGGCTAAGACCCATTGCCTAGTGCCCGCCAAGTCACATCATCGACGCAGAGGAGCTTTCGCACGTGCGACAGACGGCTCCGACGATGGACTCGGCGCGTAAAAATAGACTCGACTGAGACTGTGGCCACGAAGACGCAGCGGCATGCGAGAAGTCATCTGTAATGAACAAAGGGCGATCATGGGAAACGTTAGTTCCGAGTTAAAACTGCAAAGCCAGGAGGCACAAAATAAGCTGCTATAATCGTGGAATATTGTATTTTTTTGTAGTTCGATCAACCAAACCAATGGTATTGTCATACATCCTACTCACAGTCCTTATGGCTCTAATGAGTCCAAATTTGTCAATATTTTAGATCTGAATTTTTTTCTATATAAGCATGCAAGCTTGCGCTCACACAAAGACATTTTTTTTCGTATTTTTAAACTTGTACCCGCTAACGACTTGGGTTCACAATGAAGATATATCCTTGAGAACTACGTGGGCAGGTTTTTAGGGCTGCTATGCATGATCAACAGTTGTTAAATGAAGCTGACAATGAAAACTTGAGCACAATCGTAAACTTAAACGACTTGCTGGCGGTAATGCAGATGGAGCGCGCCAAAAAGGTTGACGGTCGACTTAAAAGACCCGCACGATCGATCATCGAATGAAACACAAAGGAAACAACAACAAGAATCGGAGGTATAATTCCCATTCCGTGCATCAAGCTGTGAGTAAATCAACGAGTCGGGAACACCGAGATGTTCTCTTGAGCTGAGAAATACTTACTAAAACATTTCCTGAACGGTGGCATCAACAGAACGACGCGCGGGGGGCTATATGATGATAATAATTTCAGATGTTGGGCTGAAAATGCTTTGCACGTGCGTGTTTGGCGGCTGTGTGTTCAGATATGCACCGATTCCTCAACTCCTCGGTGTTTGATGTTGGACAGCTATGGCGGCACGTGCCACGGTGGAGGAATCGGCAGTCGTTTGTGCGTGTCTACGTTGAACTTCTTTCGCACCGTACGTAGCCAACCATGATAATTGGGAGGTGCGGGGGAAGGACAACACACTTAATGCAAAAAAAAGGAGTTATTCAAAAAATGCGTTTGTCAGTCGAGATTTAAAAGAGCATATAGATGGCAGTGGCTTCCCAACATTGGAAGGGACGTTGCAGACGGACGCAGAAGCGCATCTGAAAGCGACCGTGCGAAGTGGTGACCGTCTTTGTTCGATGGCTCAGCCCAAAGGCCGCTTGCTGCTGCGAGGACGACTTGAGTTCGCGTGATCACCGTGGACAAAGCGAGATCCTATTACTGACGCCGTTCACGTTCATTACCTTTTTCTTTCGTACAAAATGGCCCGTCTTGTTCGTAGAATGCGATACAGCCAAAGATAGCGATAGCCCAAGCGACGAATGTACAGCACTCCGGTGTGCTGAAGCAGCAACACATTGGCACGTTTTCGTTTACGTTACAAACCTAATTGGCTGTGTTGGGTGGTGGCGGGTTAACGACACATTTATATCCGCGTGATCTTGCCCGAAAAGAAACGTTTGTCGTGGACAGCACCCGTACAGCAGCTCGTTGTGTCCGTCCGCTGCTGCGCAACGGCCTGGCCGTGCCACGTGGATCACGGGGATTATTTGACCAACGATTTGTCCACGGGATACGCGCGGGGGACACTTTGGCTTCGGGGAGGGATGTTGGCACGAGGGGGGCGGCCGATATTTGCTCCTCGAGAGTAACCCAAGCTGAGCATGTTTGGTGCTATGAGGCCGGCCCCTATCATCCACTCATCCTCATCACATTAAGCAGCCCACCCTCCCTCCCTCCCTTCCTTCCTTAACCTCCTTCCGTTCCTGTCTTAAAGCCTGAAACTTCTTCTCCACCGTCCATTCCTCCTACTCCTCCTCTTCCTTCCCCCTCCACTCCTTCCCATCCCCTTTCCCTCGACCTTCATTGCACCTCTCCATCCTGATCACCCGTTTCTCGTCCGCTGAAACGCCCCGGCCATCGAAATTGTTTATTTGTATATACCGTCTGTGTTAAATTATGTTAAGCGCCTCGAGGCGCTCTATAAATAAAGCACAAGATCATCACCACCATGATCGGATATGCAGTATTGTATTGCCATACGCAAGAATAGAATCGAATCGTCGTGAGAAACGCGTAAGGTGACAGAGGGCCCCACGTTGCGCCCACACGGGGCGTCCACCGCGTTATAGAAGGATGAGGCCTCCACCTGCAAGGTGAGGCCCGCGCCTGCGGGCAGTGCGAACAAGATAAGTAATATTAAAAAACAAAACTTTTTTTAAAACCACGCTTTTATGAAATGTACCGTACTAGTAATGGAAGAACTCCACGACTCCAGGAAGTTGCCTCGAAGCTTGCCACAACGTAAGGGGGCCCGTGGTGATTTACAGCCAACGTCAGTTGACCGTGGACAATCAGACCCAAGCCGAAACATAACATATACAAAATAACGTTTTAGAACAGATGTTTTTTAAAATATATTTTTTCATGATAGACTACAGTATTGTCATCGGTATGACATAAGTATACCAAGTTTGCTGTCGATACCACATTGGGAAGTGGGTAAAAATTGAGTTACAAGATTTGGCGATACAACGACAACAACAACAGAGTTAATAGAAAGCGTGCAATTATAAAAAAAAGAGTCCACCGCGTTGCAGCAAGGTGATGCCTCCTGCAAGGGAGTTAGGCCGCCTAGCTCACGACAGACCTACGAGGAGCAGCGCCAATGAAAAGAGTCCACCGCGTTATAGCAGAAGGATGTTCGGTCGTCACCTCATTGATGACGGACTTGAGGGAAGTGCCAACACAGAACGCCCACCGCGTTCCACTCGCGTTGTTGCAGGAGGTCTCTTCCTGTAAGGTTCAGCCCACGCCTCACGACATACCTGCCGGCAGTGCCGACGCACAGTCGACCGCGTTATAGCAGCAGGAGGAGGAGGAGGAGGCCTCCAACCTACGAGGTCAAGCCGCCACCCTCACCACAGACCTGCCGGCAGTGACGACACAAAGAGTCCACCACGCGCCACCGCATTGCAGGAGGCCTCCTGCTGGGTTGGGATGCTGCCTCATTGATTCCAGACCCGAGGGCAGTGCCAACACAGAGTGTCCGCCGCGTTATAGCAGGATGAGTAGGCCTACTCCTACAAGATGAGGCCATAGCCTCACGGACAGACCTGAGGGCCGTGCCAACACAAGAGTGTCCACCGCCTTATAGCAGCAGGAGTAGGCCTACTCCTACAAGATGAGGCCATAGCCTCACGGACAGACCTGAGGGCCGTGCCAACACAAGAGTGTCCACCGCCTTATAGCAGCAGGAGTAGGCCTATTCATGCAAGGCTTAGGCTGTCGCCTCAAGGACAGGCTTGATGAACCGGCCATGGGGCCCCCCCTCTCCACCCGGACAGAGAGGGAAGAGGCCCGGGCGAGCAAAACGAAGTCGCCCTCCACTGCCGAGGAGTGATTTTGACCCTTTGGCTCTGAATTAATATAGCGGGGCCGGGTGGGTGGGTGGTTGTGGGTGGGGTGCTTGTGCATGTGCTTTAGTGTGTTGTTGTTGTTTTACTGGGCCATTGAAGGAGCGAGCCACATCCCCCTCCCCCTCCGTCGTGGTCTGTCTCTCCTGCTGTCACGCATGCGCTTGCCATTTTGCGATACTTCTATAAACAAAATATTTAGTGCTGATGGTGGTGATGTTGCTGCTGCTGCCGCTGTGTGTGTGTATGTTGAACTTCTTTCGCACCGCCGTACGCAGTCCAACCGTGGATAATCGGAGGTGCGGGTCGAAGGGCAGCATACTGAACGCAAAAAAAGAGAGGGGCAGTCGTCAAGAAATGAGTTTGTCAATCTGGACCGGACTGCAGTGGTTCTTGGCCTGGGGTGCATCACGCACCCATTGGTGGGTGCCAGATGCCCTTTCCGGGGATGCGAGACGTGACCAGATTTTATTTTATTTCGCAGGTAAATAATCGAAAGCACAAATTAAGCGCGGGGCAACGTAAGTAGTTATTAACATCGTTACGTCTGTTCTGACGATTGAGAAACCAAAGGGGTGCAAGGCTCCAGTGGAAGGGTCAAGAACCACCGATCTAGATGATTTCAAATTGCACAGCTCCAAGCGGCTTCCTGGTATCGGAAGGGAAGAGAGCGTTCCAGACGGCCGCGGAAGCAGCGCGTACTGAAAGCGCCGCGCGACGATGCGGTTGGCCCACCACCGTCTTTGCTGCGTTGGCAGTGGCACCACTTAAACAATATGTCAACACCCTCGTCAATAGTAACACTGTGTTGTGTGGCTTTAAAATTGGGAGAGAGATAAAAACAATGTATGTAAAATCGACGACGTGTTTAAGTCAATGGCCATTTCTTCAGAGCTCATAAAAATGGGCCATTGCCCGAAACGTTGCCTGCTATACACGTTGCCACGCGGTACAGCATTTATTGCTATTGACGAATGCGTTGAGTTTTGTCCGTTCATTTTACTTTGCTAAGATAACCACACTACTGCTGCTACCACCACTCCCGTAGTGCGGACTTCCGCCACCACCGTAAACAAACAGACTTAACCCAACGACCACCAATCTCATTGTGGGTCCACACACCTGCATTGTTTTTTGCTGTAATCCAATTGAATGGACACAATGTTTTTTTAGGGGGGGGGGGAGCTGCGGCAACAGAGAGAAAGAGAGAAAAAAAGAAAATAACGGAGACCCTACCAAAGATTAACACTGCATACTTCAAGATCTTAATTAGCTTACTTGTGAGCCAAACCGACATTCAGTTTCGACGTGTGGCACAAGGTTGGATCGATTCGCGATTGCGATGGACTTACGGGTTGAATTGAACTTTACGGCCGATGATGATGGTGATGATGATGATAACAATGATGATGATAACAATGATGATGATAACAATGATGATAATGATAACAGCAGCAACGTCAAAGGTCGTCAGCTATTGTTGCGAATGGACAAAGCCGGACCGGACATATATATAGAGAGAGAGACGCGTTGAAGACTCGTCTGGCTGTCCACCCTTCCAAAGGGAATTCTGGCCACTCCAAGAGGCCAGACAAAAAAACAATTGTTAGCGGTAGCTCACATCACTTCGCTCGCTCTCTCGCTCTCAAAGTGCACTCGCTCGGACAAACGACACGACACGAACGGACAAACCCCCCCCCCCCCCACCCACCCACAAAAACCTCAACGCAATTCACCGGCGGACACTGCGTCTGATGTGTCGTCGTACGAGGACAAGACTACTGTGGGCGACGTTTCAGGCAATGGCCCCCCCTCTCTTCATAGCAAATGAGTAGAGAGGTCAGAGAGAGAGAGAGAGAAAGTCAGAAAGAAAGGTCACACGGGCAAGGCCGTGCCTACCACCCCCCACCTCGGAATGTGCAACGGAACGTGGTCTCGAGCGAGCGAGCTAGCTTGTGCCTTGTATGCCTGTTCTGAAGAGAATGCCGTGAATTCCCACGAAACCTTCCAACGGATGCACCGTTATTTATTACGCGCTCAGCTGTTGTTTGGGCGGGGGGGGGGGGCTGTGAGTTCAACGAGGGTCGTCGGAGGGAGCTGTTCGGACCGGGGGTGGTTGGAATGCACGGGCTCCCAAGCCCCTGGCCGTCTGGTGGCTTGCGTTGCACAAGGTGAGTTCACCTACGCGCGCGCGCACACACACACACACACGCACGCGCGCGCACACACACGCACGCACGCACACACACACGCACGCACACACACACGCACGCGCGCACACACACACGCACGCGCGCACACACACACACACACGCACGCACACACGCACGCGCGCACACACACACACGCACGCGCGCGCACGCACACACACACACACGCGCGTGCGCGTACTGGGTGGAGGGCATTGTTAAAGTTCACATACACGGGGGCATTTACACGGCCCATCGTTGTTAACGCGTTCGCCACTCGTTGCAAAGGTCCGCGGTACGCACCACGCGGCCGCCCTGGTTAATACTGCGGTTGTATATTATCCGTAAGAAATATATATATACGATGTCATGTGTATGCGCTACGCGCCATCTGCACCACGATGGACGTTCCGGACCCAGTGATGGTCTTCCAAAAGAGATGGGGGTCATGCGTGCTGTCATCACGAATTTTCCATTTAAAATGTAAAGTTATTGTTGTGCTGTACCAGAAATATAGTACTCAATTCTTTGGAAAACACAGCAATCATCGCCCCGCGCTGTGATACCTGTTGCTGATGCAAAAGGGTGAAACTTGATTTGAAGCTTTCGTGACAGCAGGAATAACTCTTTGGTTCTTTCGGTAAAGTCACGTATAAAGAAAATAAATTAAATAATAGAATACGACGTTTCGATAGCAACACAATAAATCGTCATCGGGTAGAAAACAAACCCAGTAAATAAAATAATAAAATGATAAAATAAAATAACACAATAATATTCTCACGACGTTTCGGCCAAAACACAAGCGGCCTTCATCAGGTGAAGGGACGAGACTGTCTGGAGGACAGCGCTGGAGCTCTCTCGTCCCTTCACCTGATGAAGGCCGCTTGTGTTGTGGCCGAAACGTCGTGAGAATATTGTGTTATTTTATTTTATCAATTTATTATTTTATTCTCATTCTATGTGACTTTACCGAAAGAATCAAAGAAGATGAATCCTTGCAGTCACGAAAGCTTTAAATCGAAATTTAAACCCAGTAAACTTAGAAACACAATGCAGTCCAGCACAGAGAGTCGGCTAACACAACAGAGTGTGTGTCTCTTTCTGCTTGTGTGTCTGTGATGTGTGTCTGTGTGTCTACGTTGTATGTCTCTCTCTGTGTGTCTCTGTGTTGTCTCTCTCTCTCTGCTTGTGTGTCTGTGTGTGTGTCTATGTTGTGTGTGTCTCTCTCTCTGTGTGTCTCTGTGTGTCTCTCTCTGCTTGTGTGTCTATCTGTGTGTCTATGTTGTGTGTCTCTCTCTGTGTGTCTCTGTGATGTCTCTCTCTCTTCTTGTGTGTCTGTCTGTGTGTCTATGTTGTGTGTCTCTCTCTGTGTGTCTCTGTGTTGTCTCTCTCTGCTTGTGTGTCTGTCTGTGTGTCTATGTTGTGTGTCTCTCTCTGTGTGTCTCTGTGTTGTCTCTCTCTCTCTGCTTGTGTGTCTGTGTGTGTGTCTATGTTGTGTGTTTCTCTCTGTGTGTGTCTGTGTGTGTGTCTCTCTCTGCTTGTGTGTCTATCTGTGTGTCTATGTTGTGTGTCTCTCTGTGTGTCTCTGTGATGTCTCTCTCTCTGCTTGTGTGTCTGT